ACGCAAGGGGTTACAGAAAATTTGGAGCAAGGAGTGATAGAAGAAAGAATAATCAGAAGGGTAGTGGATAGATCAAGGCAACTGGAGATATCGATTGACATTACATTTGAATAGCTGGAGATTATAGCTCTCAGGGAAACTGGAATAGGGAAGGGAGTTCCACAGGCGAGAGGTGTGAGACATGAAGCTATTGGAGTCGAAGAGACGGCTACATTTAGGAGTTTCGACAGTGAAGGGGTGAGAGCGGGATGCCAGCCTTGTAGGGCGCTTGAACTCATGAAGTCTGGGAACCAGCGAATGCAGCTCCTCGGAGCAATTGCCATGAAAGTATTTGTAAAACAGACAGAGAGAGGCGACGGCGTGTCTGTGAGAGAGTGACTGTAGACGAGATGCCAGAGCAGGACCTATTATATTGCATATCTGCCTCTGGAGCCTATCAAGAACCCCGAGGCAAACAGAAGGTACACCAGCCCATATATGGCAGCGATACTCCATGCAAGGGCGAATTGTTGATTTGTCGATCTGGAGGATCGATTCCGGGGAGAAAAATTTCCTGGCGCGGCACAGGGAGCTAACTTTCCTTGCGGTGGACGAAGCAATTGACTCAATGTATTTGTTCCATCTCAGGTCAGCCGTCAACGTGAGACCGAGGAGCCGCAGCGAGTTGCTTTCGAGAAGTTGAGCGTCAGACATTCTAATGGAGGGCAGGGTAGGATCTCCGTGGTGATTAATAGAGAGCAGTTTTGTTTTTGAAGCATTAAAGTTGACCAGCTTGAAGATTGTGTCCCAATAGGGAACAGACTGTCAGTTTCCACTCTAAGATTTCAGACGTGCACTACGTATGAAATTTAGAACTTTTACTTATAGTTATAGCATAACTTAAAACTATATTTTATCACACACACACATATCTATCTATCTATCTATCTATCTCTATCTATCTATCTATCTATCTATCTATCTATCTATATATATATATATATATATATATATATATATATATATATATATATATATATATTCTGTATATTCAGGTAGCAAAAGGGTATTTAGCAGCAAATACAGTTCCATTGCCTTCCACTTTTTGAATAATACCAAAAATTGGAAGACTCTAAATATATTTTCTATTCAGCATTATAATATTTAAAAAAAAAATCAATTTCCCTACATAAAAGAAATAAATTAAAATTTAAAAAAATTAATTTTCCTATATAAATAGAAATAAATTAAAATTAAAAAAATTATTTTCCTGTATAAATAGAAATAAATTGAAAATATCAAAACTTTATAGTCAGCAATAAACAGGATAGATTCACATGATTGATCTCTAATCTAAAACAGGATCGACTGGACAAATGAATTGTAGCGTAATAGTAACGGAAGCTGTTTCAAGCCACGCAGTTCGCTGCCAGTCTCGCGACCGGCTTGTCGAACTTTGTGCGTTCGGGCAGATAGGAACCCAAACGAGGCTATATCGAAGGACAGAGTCTCGTCTGGGGAGGTAGGCCAACCCGACCCAATCCATACGGAGGTCTATGGGGAATATTTGCTCGAGCTTATGGGCTCGGATTTGCCTCACTTAGAAATCGGCCTTGTGCCTCACCCGGCCTTGTGTAGAGGTTGATAAATACCAATTGTAAAGTAATAGTTGAAGTGACACTATGTCTAAGACATTTTAATTTTCGAAGCCATGAGACGCGACATTGTTTATTGGATACAGAATGATGTGATATTCTTTTTCAAAAATGGAAAATAGACTAAAATCTTATTTATCTAACAGGTTATACAAGAAATATATAAATTCCAGACAGACATCGATATCCATTATTTATATCACCTGTTCTTCAAATTAAAATCCATTGCTTATCTCACATACACTCCACATTAAAATCCATTATTTATTTCACTTGCTCTTCAAATTAAAATTTATCTCACATCGATTCCAAATTAAAATCCATTTTGTATCTTACCTATTCACTAAATTAAAAGCTACTATTCATCTTTAAAAGCCAATATTTACATCCTTTTCAATTTATAATCAATAATATATTTCATCTGGTCTTCAAATTAAAAACCATTGTTTATCTCACATGATTTCCAATTTAAAATTTATAATCTACTTCATTTTTTCAAGTTGAAAACTACTACTTATCTCGCCTATTCTTCAATATAAATGTCATTATTTATCTCACCTGTTCTCGAATTAAAAAAATGCCTTTTCATCTCACCTGCTCTCCAATTCATGAAGCTTTCCTGTATCACTCAGGTTCAAGATTGCCATTGACAGATCGTCCCGATAGGTGGCACCAGGTGGCACTGCAATGCCGAACCCTTTAGGATCGAATCGGGGTCCAATCTCCATCAACTCGCAGTCTTCAATTGTCTTGTATTTGCTCACCGTTGTATCCCAGAAAAATGCATAATTCCCTTTCTTCACTTTTTCGTAACCTTGGGCAGTTGTAGACACCATGGTCGAAGGATCCAACTCGGACATCTGAAC